TACATACAAACACACAGACAGGCACACATACAGACACACACACACACAGACAGACACACATACACACACACGACACATACAAACAGACAGGTACACATACATACAGACACACACATACAAAGACACACACATAAGACATACACAAGACACACATACATACAAAGACATACACACACAAGACATACATACATAGACATACACACACACACACACACATACAGACAGACACACACACAAGACATACAAAGACACACATACACACAAACAAACACACACAAAATATTTTAGTCACCCTCCTGTTTCCTACCTTTTAGGTGCAGGAGGGTGACTTTCCCTGGGGTCCAGTGGTGGCTCAGGTGCATGGGAGTCAGAGTTCCCACTCTGACTCCCTCTGCTTCCTCCTGTGCAGCTCTCAGTGTTAGCTGGGAGGAGTGATGTGCAGTCACTTCCTCCCAGTGTGTGATGTAATCACAGGGGGCCTAGTCGCGCTGTTAAAGCGCCCAGCGCTGACCGGGCCCCCTCTCAATCCACATCCATAGGGTGGCCCTGACAGCATGGGCCACCTGATGGACCCCTCCATATGCGGCCCCGGCGGTTTGCCTTGCGGGCCGGTGCCGCAAATGGTGACGGCGGTACCCGCCCTCCCGCCCACCGAATCTCTAAAACTGAGGAAATCCCTACCGTCCACCTGGAATCCTGAAACGCCCACTAGTGGGCGGTAGGGACCAGGTTGACGACCCATGAACTAGAAGCATAGCCATCAGAATATTAGCACACCTGTGAATTGCTGTTACATGTTAATTTCTTAGAAACATACAATTCTGTAATGAATCTAGCAATGAGTTAAGGTATTAATCAGAACTTTCAGGTTCACACACTGAATATGTTTCCTGTTAATTCCATTCTTCATATTTATTACTCTGTAGAGCTGTGTGTATCAGGTACTGTCAGTCCTAGAGTTCAGCACCCAGCAAAAATAACTCATCACCTATATTAGATACACAGATGTTTTAAAGCCTTGTATATATCTTATTAAAATGGATTTTAAACATTTTCTGGTCTTTTTTTTTTTTTTATTTAACTTTTGATTTGTTTTATTTTTATTTAAATATTGTAAAAATATGAAATTGAACCAGTTCACCCTTTTATTTTTAACAAAAACATGTGTATTATGTATTTAATTTATTTGAAACATGGGTTACATAGCACATAGAATTAGAACTTTATATAAAAGTTTTAATTTACTATTAATAAATATTGTAACAAAAACATAATTAACATGTAAAATAATGTCTATATGTGAGTACAAAAATGTGCGCACAGTAAATATAATTACACCAAGAAACTGGAATACACTGGCATAATAATAATAATAATAATTGCAGACTGCAAATAATCCCTGTACCACCTTCCCATCCCCTCTCCCTGACTGCAGTAATTCAGCTGTGAAATGTGAAGTAAATGGTTACCCATGATATGGGAGGATGGGTGCTGCATTTTACAGTTTCTCTGCAATTCTTCTGCTTGTGTTTTTACTAATGCAAATTCTGAATAATACAGCTGCCTGGATAAAATAATGGATTGTCATTTGCTACTGCATCCGACATATAGGCACTACGATGTCCTCATTGCTATACCCAGTATAATACAGTTGCCTGACAAAGCATTGCATTCTTTTATACAAGAGCTGATTTAAAGAGATATTGTCACTTTTATAACCTCCCCCTAAGTAAAACCTTCTGGCTATCAAGCATAGAACTAGGAGCGCTCTCTTCGTTACTCGTGACGAATGGGGTGCATCTCATATCGTAGAGCAGCACTAGTTTCAATTTGTTTTTATGAAATAAATTGTCGTGATTGCCGTGTTTGCGCCGTATGTCTCAATGTTTCTCTGTGATTACAAAGAAAGTGGATCAGAGCTGCCCTGTAGAGACTCCTCTGGGCCAGGAATAATAAGTAAAGGTGGGATTACTTGATTTTTAAACCTTCTATTGCCAAAACGGAGGCCCAGTAATTTAAACGCAAATAGGAACCCTCCAATTAAAACAAAATCTGGATCTTTATAGTGTTCTGACACAACCTGCAGTATATATTGTTAAAATAAACACAAATCACATTATTTGGATTAATTGGAACATAATTTCCAAAAATTGGAAAACCCTTCTCTAGTCCGGACATACCAGGTGCACATGTACCACTTCTGCCTGCTTTTGGATACAGTGCTACACTGTAGCATGCAAAACAAAATACTGCAATAGCGAAGATATAACAAAAACTTCCTTTTAATTTATTGAGTTTGCTTAGTTTATTTGAATTAATTCCTTTTAATTTTGAAAACCTTAGTCGATCTGACAGCCCTATCTACGTGATCATTCATTAAACGTTATATGTATTTATAACGTCATTCTAAATTTATTTTGATTTAAATATATATGTATATTAATATCAAAATACAGTTAGAACTAAATTTCATAATTTTTTAAATTTAATTTAAAAATTTAATTTTCAATATATTCATTGATTATTTTTTATTTTTTATATATATATATATATATATATATATATATATATAAAATTATAATATATAGATTAATATTAAAATACACTTTTAATAATGATTTATATAATTATATAGATTAATATTAAAATACATTTTTATTAATGATTAATGTATGTGTATATAAAAGTACTTAGATCATATATATATATACGTATATATATATATGTATATATAAATATATGATCTAAGTACTTTTATTTGCTTTTTAAACTTTTTAACAACTTTTATTCACTTTGAAAACGTTTGTACAGGCATTAGGGGGACTGCCTGAGAGCTCAGGCAGGCCCCTTGCAGGCACTGCACAAGCTGGCTATTCCGGCCATGTGATCGCGAGGAGCCCACGATCACATGGCAAGAGAGAGCCGGATCGGGCAGAGGGGTTTGCCTGAGCTCCCAGGCAGACCCCATGATCGCGTAGGGGATCGCCAGTGATCAGGTAAGTGGGGATTTACTATCGGATGTACCTGGTTTTTGTCGGACGTCGCTGGTACGTTAGAGGTCGGGAAGGGGTTAAAGGGACACTATAGACACCCAGAGGGATCTGGGTGCAGTGACTCTGTCCCCTTAACTCTGCAATGTTAATTATTGCAGTTTATGAGAAACTGCAATAATTACCTAGCACAGTTAAGACTGCCTATAGTGCTTGTTAGTCAGACAGCCACTAGAGGCACTTCATGCTTGTTAGGCAACTTTTGGTCACCTAACTGATGCTGGATGTCCTCACTTTCTTCATGAAGACATCCAGCATCAGTCAAATCCCCATAGGAAAGCATTGCGGCAATGCTTTCCTATGGAAGGGTCTAGTGTGCTCGCAGCGTTGGCCGAGCATGCGCATTAGTGCCCTTACTTTGGGTGACGTCGGAGGGGGTAGAGTGCCAACCTAGCATCGAGGGAGATCTGTGCTGGTATTGGATAAGTACAGCAAGGCTTTATTAACCCTTACCTGCGGTGGAGAGGGGGAGGAGAAGAGGGAGTTAGGGGGCTTAAGGGAGCTATAGTGCTATCCCTTTAATTGAGAAAAAAAAATTTCTCTTAAGAAATCTATCATTTTATGATCAAATTAGGTTAGATCAGATCTCGTTAGTGGTGGTACTGCCATTAGCAAATTAATTTCCAATGCCTAGACTTGTTGAATACATGTTTAATAAATGTTGAGCGCATTAGGCTCTTTTGGAATTTCTGCAGTGAATTTTCATAATCCCTAATCTACAATCAGGTTATATATTTTTTGGAGAAAAAAAAATGTATCCTTTATTTTGCTTTGCCAAGTTTTATCAGCACATTTACAGGAAATCCTGTTTGACCAAGCAACATTTGGTAAAAAGAAATCTTATCTAATCATGGGTACAGATATTCTTTAAGAAGTCCTGGCCAATATTCTTCAAAGCACAGAGCCTAAATGGTCCTGTTATGCGCACAGAACGTGTTTTGTCTGAAGTCTCTTCTATTTGCTTGAATCTGATCTATCTACAAGATTTTTCATGGCATCTAACAATTAAACTATAAAAAAACAGCAGCATTTTTAAATTCACTGTATGAAGTTGAAGATGTGATTTATCACAGTAACATTTTGATTGAAGTCACGTTATTTTTTTTAAAAAAAGTGTTTTTTAATGATTACATTTTTTTTTATTGTTCAAATAAATATGGAATTTTAATTTGTGCTGTGAGATTCTTATATTCATTACAAACAAATTGCCAATTGGAGTTAAAAGCATTACGTGTGTTTTATGCCGCAAGACAAATAGTTTACATACATTAAAATAACAATAGAAAACGTGCAGTGTGTAATTTGTCAAGTTGAAGAATACCAAGTGGAGTCCTGCGGAATTGGCATTCATTCACATTGAATATAGTACCAGCTTGAGATTTAGCTAATTGTAAACAGTATTTGTTTTATTGGAGCTTTTGTATAATTTAAATAAAATCAAATTAAAAGATTGTCTTTTAAAACACTTAAGCAGTTTCTTGCACACAGTACCAACCAATGGCATTCAATTGTAGTACGAAAGGAAAATATCTCCTTTACTTTCATACAATAATAATAAACAACAAAATAGCAGGTGAAATAGAATACATTATAGTCAGAAATGTAATGCACAAAATACTGAACAGTGAAAGACATCTATTATTGTTCACATATTTGCAAATTAGTTACATCATATGTGTGATAAGTGTAGCTTAGAGAGCTAGAAGCAGGTTCAGACATTGTTCACTGCATCATCCTAAATAAAGCAAATCAAATCCCATGTTTGCAAACCGGTTCCTTAAAAGTAATTGCATTTTTGTGCGCTGTTCATTAAATGAACACTTTAGTGTTAGGAATACAAAGATGTATCCCTAAAACTAAAGTGTCCCTCTGCCTATGCAGCCCTCCACCCCCCTGCCCACTAAGCTGTGAAAGGACCGTTGAAGTGGACCATAGTGTCCCTTCAATCTGCATATATATATATATACACAATTGTGTGTGTGTGTGTGTATGTATATATATATATATACATACACACACACACACACACACAATTGTGTATGTTTATTATATATATATATATATACGTAGTGCTGACAAATGCATGTTCTGGGTGTGCTTCTAAATTCTATTTTTTGTGTATATTTGGAATCCAGACCAGATTCCTTTTGGGTTGACCACCTCATCCCTCCACTCTAGGTGCCCAATTAAAGTTGACAACATGAAAGCATACATTTGAGTAGAGTCTCTGGAAGTAATTTAATTAGTAATCATTACAATTGGAATGATTTTCTCCCATGTTAAAATTAACACAGGATCAGCGGGTGGAGTCTAGACAGCGATAGTGCAGTTCCTCTGTGACCAACTCTTCCCCTCCTAGTGTGCCCTTGAGCTACTAATACACTCTTCCTGCCCCTAAAGAGCTCCTATGGTTCCTGAAGTGACCTCTTTCTTCCTTGCCGACTTAGATCAGGTCTCAGGTCACTGGGTTCTGCATTCTACTTTCTATGCCACTCTTTTGCTTGGGTGGATGCCTGGAGGGTCATGAGCCCCTTGGCGAGAGATTACACAGTCTATTCCAATAGCCATGATAGTTACTCCGCATTGATCACCTTTTGGTAGACAGATAACTACTGCAGAATGTTGCTGAGTGTGTCATCACATCGGTCCATTGGTTGGACCAGGATGCCATGGTTTTATTTCGAATGCACATGATTTACTCTTGGAGAGTGATTCATTTATTTAGGACCACTCCGTCCCTGTGCCCAACCATCACATCTTTACTGCTCTTTATCCTATATTCTCTTAGGACATGGGATACTCTGTCATGAAAGCATCTTTATTTAAAGCAGCTCACAACAAATACTCCCATGGCCTACTTGGAGTTAAGCATTGAGGGTCTTTCTTTGCAGGCCTTGGAATACAAGGGAATTAGGGTCTTGGGTGACCTATACAGAGGTTCTCCTTTCAAGAGATATGTACAGAATATGAAACTCCAACATGTGACTTTTTTAAGTATTGCTGACCTAAATCTCTTACACCTCCATCCGATAGTCCTTTTGACACACAGACATACTTTCAGGGCATGACTAAAAGGGCATGACTAAATGCTACAAAACTGGGTCTATATCCTCATAAAGCCCGATGGGAAAATAATTGTTTTTCACCTTATCTGCTTAGGATCAGGACATCTACTATGGGAACCTCAGGGGCCTCACCTAAACGCATCCTATTTGGAACTGTTAAACAAAATTATTTTGCACAGGCACTTCACTGGCGTTATTTTGCGTATTTCACATGTACACACCTAGTCAATTGGCATTGTGCTGGCATGGTAGTGGCCTCAACGGTTCACTTGGTCATATTTAGTGGAGCTCCCCAAACATCCAACTATTGTGGAGTTCAGTTTTTACCCAAATGTACAGACTTTCAGCTATTTGCAATAGTTCAACACAATGAATGATTTAAGTGGTTTCCCCAAATTCAACTAAAAATGCAAGTTATAATGACTTTATGTCATATATTTTTATGTATATATTAAAACGGTGTGATAACTGGAAAATGGGATACGTAAAATGGGAAATGGCATCAGAAACACCACCTTTTGGCAAAGTTTGGCAAGTACACGAGACAATCTTGCCCTTACTTTGTCTCCTGCATAGTTTTGATTGCTTTACCACAAGAGTTGGTGTTACCTCATTTTGAAAAGTTTTATAATTGCTTTCGTTTTGTTTAATAGTCTGTTCGTTCTATGTATCAATTTCTTTAAATAATTATACATTCTGTGTAGTTACTAATTAATCTGTTTATTGGATATTTAAATTAATATTATTTTTTATGTTCTAATACAAAGTTCTGGTTGATCTACTCTGCAGCCAATCTTCTTCTGTATTTTACTCTACATTATCGTTGCGATCTTTATTATAATTCTATCCATAATTTCCTTTGTTTAATGATGTGTGCCTCCATGACATTTTACATATGACATAAATGTGTCCTGAAGGGATTAAGTCAAAGCCAGATGTAACTGTTATTGTATTTCAATATCAATTGTTAAGTCAAAAAGATCATATTGCTCAAAGTATATTTAATACAAATGAGCACTTTGTTCAGATCACACCAGTCAGGTTTTTAGGTTAATTGAAAATAGAACAATATACTTAATCCATTTAGCCATTCATTTTAAAATCCCGTGTATAAACTCAGTTGTGTTAATTTTGCATTGCATCACAATGGAATATAGAACTAAAATAAAGGACAACTGTCACCTACAATTAATTTTGGCTATAGAAATTCTTTCGAGAGAAACATTTAAAAAACCTTTATTTTTTCAAAGGATATGAGTGAGAATTTTTGTGCAAAATGCTTCCCTACCTGTTAAATTCCTTTCTTTCTGATGCCATTTTTTGCCACCTTTCATTGGATGGGCCCTCCACTGACCGTTTATTCTCTATGGTATGTCCTGCCTTACGGAGGTCAATCACTAAGCACCTTGTGATCTCTGGGAGACAGTTCTGATGTCTTACACACACTTCCCTCACTGTTCCCCCAGTTGGACTGCACTGCCTCTCCGAGAGCACAGGGCAATGAATAACGTTGTTCATTGATGTTTATAACTTGACAAAGGCCGTTTTGGCTGAAGCATTGTCAGTTTTGTCCTTTTGGTTTTTCTAATAAAGTCTGTACGTATTGAGAAGCTCTGAGTGCCCTGTTCAGTGGGTGCTGCTAACGAGAGAGCACCTTCCCCTAGTAAACCCAAGATCTCTGACAGCCGCTACAATAAAGGAAAAATATGGAGGTATGTCAGATGGAGCTTTGTCCTTCCCTAGACGCTGTCATTGCTCAGTTCTGTCCTGTTTCAGTGAATACTTACATATCTTCTGTTTATTTACCCAGATACCTAACTTTTAGCTTGTGTTTACTTGGATTACTGACCTTCGAACTGTCTTGACCTTGCCTTTGCCTAGCCCTTTCTAGATTGTTTGCCTTCCTGTATCCCGTTCTCATTATTACCTCACTGAGTACTGCATTCTTGGTTTCAGCCTAAAATATTTTAAACAATATCCAAACTTGGCATTGATTTAGTTTTTTTTTTGTTTTATACAGGAAGGTAAGAAAAACATTTATAAAAAATATATATTCGCACAGCTTACAATTCTGATACCTAACCTCACTCTCGGATCTCTCCTATTTGCCAACTGCAAATCCTCAATCAATACTGGCAGAGACTACATGTAATCTTTCAGCAAGTTATTACATATACTTAGGGTCAAGACCCTCTTTCCAGGGAACAAAACATTGTTGTATTATTGTTGTTGTTTTGCTTTCTAGGTATGCCTACCCTATGACTTTAATATTAATGTTTAATACTATAAAATGGTGTGAAATAGCAGCAGGGGGTAAAGGCCACATTCAATTATTTTCCCATAATGATAGATTTATCAAAGTGTAAGATTATGGGCCATGGTTTACGGGTCAACTCTGCCTGATGCCATTTTTAGATTGCACAATGTCAGTTATAGTCCATGTGGAAATAAAATAATGTACACTCTCATACTGTAATCATACAAGATCTACTATCCTATAAAATAAATAATACATACTTATCGGTCTAGCTCTGTAATTTTAGCTCATTTCCATATTGTAGGCCCTTTTGTTCTAAAATGGTTAGTCCAGCAGGGTCAGATTAGCATAGGTGCAACTGTGGCTTCCCACACTGTATTTTGCAATAGGCCCAAAGCAGTTGCAATATAAATGCTCAGGTTTATTTATATATATATATTCTGAAATTGGTAACAAAGGGACTATACCAATCATGTATGTTATGTGTACCGGGTGTGGTGGCTGGTTAGCCTGTATGTGCACAACCTGTAAGACAGACATGTGACATATTAATTACATAAGACAGAGAATCTGGAGGCCATATGGACCAGTGCTAAGCTTACTATATGTGACATCTAGTCCATAACTGCTACTAAAACAAATAAAGTAAGTTCCACTTCGGTCATTAGATCCATAAAAAACTTTCAGCTGCAGATCCATGAAACACTTAAAGAACCACTCTAGGCACCAAGACCACTTCAGCTTAATGAAGTGGTCTGGGTGCCAGGTCCAGCTAGGGTTAACCCATTTTTTTATAAACACAGCAGTTTCAGAGAAACTGCTATGTTTATAAATGGGTTAAGCCTTCCCCCAAAGCCTCTAGTGGCTGTCTTATTGACAGCCGCTAGAGGCGCTTGCGTGATTCTCACTGTGAAAATCACAGTGAGAGCACGCAAGCGTCCATAGGAAAGCATTGATAATGCTTTCCTATGCGACCGGCTGAATGCGCGCGCAGCTCTTGCCGCACATGCGCATTCAGCCGACGGGGAGGAACGGAGGAGGATCGGAGGAGGAGAGCTCCCCGCCCAGCGCTGGAAAAAGGTAAGTTTTACCCCTTTTCCCCTTTCCAGAGCCGGGCAGGAGAGGGTCCCTGAGGGTGGGGGCACCCTCAGGGCACTATAGTGCCAGGAAAACGAGTATGTTTTCCTGGCACTATAGTGGTCCTTTAATCCCGACCTGTAACTCTAACTCTTACTGTTAGAATAACAGGTCATAAGGAGATACCTTTATCACAGCTGTACTTTATTGACAAGACCCCCTGAAATAGTAATTTGGGATTGCCTGTATCTCTCATGCAGAGGGTTCCGTGACAGGCATTTTGATGGTGGACTGTATTTGCGAGCATGAAATGCGTAGTATGCCAATTGTATCGATCAAATGTGTATTGGCGTGGATGACCTAAACCGTGTCGGAATTAAACCAAGGCCAAACATGTTAAATCATGCAATGGAACTTCATATGACCCATGCAGAAGCTATCAATAATTGAATTAATTATATATTGCCGATGCAGAACCCATCCATCACATATGTATCACAAGCATCGTGTGTATTGTGAAGAAGAAACCCCTCTATTAGTAGTACATATTCCACTGATAGAACATAACATCTAAATGAGAATATAAAAACGCTACAAAACATGATGGATTCCACTAGTTTGTAAGAAATGAGCTGCATTATTAAAAAAT